GGAGAGGTATTGAAATGCAATTCACCTCTGCGGGTTACTTTAGCAAACCAGAGGGCACCCACTTTGGTCTATGCTTGAGGTGCTGCTGCAGATCCACAGGATCTGGTTCGCACCACGTGTGACAAACACCCTCTCGGCTCGGTGTGCTGCTCATTAGCTGCCTGTGTGTGCGAGTGAAAAGGGAATCTCTGAGTCACCTCTTCCGTATCAAAAATGCATACCCCTGGCACAGTTAGAGCTGGCCTAAATAGAAATTCTCCAGTTGTCTGAGTCCAAGTAAAATTAAACAACTGCTGCAGAGCAGGAGGGATTAAAACAAAGTAGACGCACCTTTGTAAAAATATTAACAAAATTGTCACTGGGGCAGCATCGATCACCCATTTCAAGCCATTAAATCCTCTAGATAAAGCATTCAGCTGCAGCATGGTCATAAGAAAAAAAATAATAAAACCTAACAATCTAATTGTTTTTAATCAGAAATGACCAAATTCATTTCACCTAAAACGAGCTTTCCACAAACCCATTCATCTACCTGGTCTGGAAAGACTTCCAAGGCCTTGGAGCCAGCTCCCTCTGCCCCAAGTGCTCCTTCTCCTGCCAGGGAAGATGCTCAGCCTGATACACCACATTCAGGCCGTAACTGACTAAGCATACAACCAGAAGCTGCAAACATAAAACTGCAGTCCCTCCGTTTCAGCTCATCACCAAGGAAATGAACCGCCTGAATATGCTGTAACTGCTTTCCTCACACACCCTCCTAGGGTAGCATATTAGGGATGTGGTGATGGAAGAAGCTGTGAGTGTGTTTGCCTCGTTATCAATGTATGAGCTGGGAGTATTAATTCATTTGAGCTTCATCTTAATTGTTGTGCTCTGCTCAGACGTGTTTCCTGAAACACCAGTGTTTCCGCAGGCACAAGAACTGATCAAGTATTTGTCTTGTGATTTCTTGAGGCTTCAGGGACTGTTCTGGGATGGCAACTCCCTTTGCAGAGTGCTCCTCATTGCCCCAGTGAGCAAAGCATCCTGCCCAGGTCGGATATTTTCTGTTACAGGGGAACACAGGAGGAAATAACATGCAACAGAGGAATGGAGCAGCATCTCCCATGGAGATGAAGTTGACTACACAGCAAGCACAGACTTAGGCTGGGCAATTAGTTGGACTTTTCCAAGTTGTTTCCCCTTTTGTCCCCCATTCCACACACATCCACTAGTGAGGACAGGCCCTGGATGTAAGCAGGGCCACTGTGGACATGGTGATGGTGCCCATGCACCCGTCTCTAGTCACACTTTCTGTGGCCCGGAGAGATGTGATACATACTGACAGAGGGTCTGGTCTGTGCTCCAGTGGGTGGTGAGATTGTTCATTTAATTTGCCTCATGTAGAAAAGACAGCTGCAACCAGTACAGTGCAGTCCAAGTGAAAGTCAGAGGGTGAGCCCCTTGCAAAGCTGAGATGCCAGCACAGAAGGTTCGGTGGCTCCTTCCCTCCCTGCCGGCGCTCGGTTCTGCCCTCATAATAAGTGACATTATTTATAAAATTAGTTACATCTTTTTGGGTGTATAACATGCATCATTATGCAAAAAGCTACCAGAACAGGTGAGAGGTTCAACTACAAGGTAGGTTTTGCATTAAACGTGATGTAGTATATAGTCTTAAGTCAAAAAAAGAAAGATTTTAAAAGCATCTTTGTCTGTATCAGGCTCATCTTAAACACCTACACGGCTCTCAGGACTGCGGTGTCTGAGCATGACCTTGGGTATTTTGTAGATAAGGAATATAGCAAAGAGAAGTCTGCAGCAGGACTGGCAGCTAATTCTTGTTATCTCAAGTTCAAGGCCTGTGTCATATTTGCTGGCTCATATCTCCAGCTCATGCATGCTTTTAAATCTGAGCTAGGAGAATCCACAAGCCCTCAGCTCATTTCACACCTAAGAAATAAGGAGCACTTCACACTTTACAGCTCTGTTGAAGTTCCCAAGCACACTAACGCTCCATGACACTTTTTCAGAACTGACTTGGCCACTTGATTTTGAGTCCAAGCTGCCAAAGGGAATAGCTTTGCTCTCTCTCAGCTCTGGGCACTTTGGGGCCTGCCAAAGATTAAATGCCTCCTTTGAATATCTTCCTCATTCCACCTTCTCAGGTGGCTAAGACAAAGCCAGTAAATGATGCCAGCGAGTGCCTATCTAGAAGAGAGGGAAATCAAGAAAGATAAAGTATTTGTGATAGAAAAGGAAAGATTTTCTGGGTTAATACTTGTTATAACAAAAAATGGAATGTTGTTCCTATTTCTTCCTGTTGTCTTAAGCCTGTTAACATGAAACTCAGGTGGTACCATGAACGGGCTCCCCACTGACCTGGGCATTTACCTACCCATCTCATGCAATGTTAGAGACAGGTAATGTTTTGCATTTGTGCAGTACTCCAGCAGACTATTAATGTGTTACACTATCAAAATCGATTCACATTTTCATCTCATTAATATTTTCCAAAAATATTAACTGAGGATAGGAAACGTTCACTAAGAAGTGTATCTTAGTGGATGCTTTAAGTGAATTTCACTTAAATCATTACAGTGTGTGTGCAAGAAATAAAACCAAAAGGAGTAATTAAAAATATAGTGGTTTCAGCCCAGGCCATGAAACACTGACAATTAAAAAAATAGCAGAAGTGTGAAAGTTTTAGAATAGTCCTGTCATTGTTACATTTAATAGTGGAAAGAGATATTAAAACTCTTATGAGCTATGAGGAACAGTTTGCATTCTCTGGAAAGGCAGCACGCATGATTAAGTTTGAGGGACTTCAGAGAAAAATGAATGGAGCTCCTTCTGGGAAGGAACTAGCATGTATGATCTAGTTCCTTCCCAGGCTAGTCTAGCTCCATGCTAGTCAAGGAGGATCTGCTGCTTTTTGGATTTATGTGCATATTTTATGTTGTGATATTCACTAAAGAAACTTCTGCCTGTCCAAAAGTTGATGGTAAGGGCAGGGAGTTGATGCTTGGGTATCCATCACCAGGATGAATTCTTGGGAGAGGGTGCAGTGGTGTCCTTAGGCAGGGCTCAGAGATCAGGAGCCCGTAAGGAGCGATCTGCTGTGACGTAAATGCACTTCTTGTTTTTTCAGTCATGGAGACAGGCTCCATTCATGGTATAAATTAATAAAGCAGATCATTGCTCACGGAAGTAAACTGGGCAAATATATTTCTGGCTCACTAATGGGCATAACAGAACCTTATGAATGCAAAAATAATTGCTGATCTTGTGATTTTGGGGGCAAGCTGTACTCTTCTGCCATGTTGTGCAATATCCTGAAAGGTTTCATTTTAGAAAACTTCTTATTGCATACCTAAAACTACCATAGCACAACTGGATATAAATCTGCCCTGTTCATCAAGCTTAGTAATGTCATGTTCCGAGCCAAGCAATATTAAAAACAAAGATGCTTTCCTTTAAAGCCGGTGGTAGCTTCAAAGGCAAGCTAGGATTATATTCATGCTAGCATGAGTAAGCACAGGAGAGAAGCTTGGGGAAGAGGAGCCATGAAGAACTGGCCTGGCCAGATTGTCAAGAGGCGCTAATCACCCTACCCCTGCTCCGCGAAGCATGCCTCATGTATTCTAGCTCAAGACCAAGATCCTGGAAAGTAAATTGACAAAATGTAGCAGTTCTAAAATTTGGATTGCACACTGGTGAGGGAAGTTGAGAAATGCAAAAGCTGAAGTTCTCGCAGTCGCACTTGGCTGCAGTTATGTTTTACTCTGTGTGTTGACCATGCAGTTTGTATAAAAGAAGAGGCGAGAACCTTGTGGAGGTTTGCTCTGGCACAGTTAGGATTAACATCAAAATCACCATATTTATTTCCCCATTACTATTTATTTTTAAACTCTTTAAACCTGGTACTACAGTGGGGGCAGGGCTGGCTTCCTGGAGGAGCCTAGAGAAAAATGCTGCTCTGAAACCTCTTCCTGGGTCTGTCTGTCTGTTTTATACTGGGAGAGATTACCCTGAAGGAAGTGGTAATCTCCTTTCTTTCTATCAAAGGATAGAAATTCAAAGAATAGAAAGAAAGCATGGAAAGAAAATATCCTGAGAAGAGTCTGCTCTGATTAGCTTGGTAGGAACATGGTGGGAAGAGTTTGTACGTCTTCATGTCTTATTTAAGTCAGTTCTAGATGCTGGAGAAATGTTTGCCTAGACAGGAGGCAACCATTTAACACCCTGGTTTACTCAACTTTGCACTGTTGGTTTTTTCTTCCCCTTAAAACCTTCACATGAGAAGCAGTTGCAGGGGAACCTCAGATTACCCAAGAGATAAACCGCTATGGTCTTTTTACCTTGTAACTGCAGAAGAAGAGCTTGAAAACAAGGTGCCCAAAGGTTATTCAACTGGAAGCCAAATGCTTTAGTATTCACACTTCTTAAGCCAGTTGTGAGTTCTCGAGCACCACTACTAGTTTTTCCACCTGTGCTGCTGTAGGGGAGCTGGGCGCCTACACACTCTCATGCATGCCCTTTTGCACATAAAAGTGGGCACAGACTCCATAGGTGGGCGAGCAACAGCATTTGGCACACGGTTGGCTGGCTTTGCTGATGCTGTTGCATTTTACAAGCAAACATTAGAGAATTCAGACTGTAATTAGTAACAGTTCACTTGCTAAGAGGAGCCACTCCTAAGCCTGAGACTTGCTGCAAGCGAGCGCTCTAAGGACTGTGAGACAGAGAAAGCCACGTCCCCTTCAAAAGCAGATGCTGGACCTAGCACAGAAACTGGAAAAGTTGCTGGTTTTTGGATGTAATTCTTTACAGTGTCTCCTTCTGCCTACCATCAAACACTTGAGCAGTACGTTTTTGCCTGGAGACAAATTTGGATGAATTTAAAAGACAGAGCAGGATTAAGTTAGCTCCAAAGTGTATTTAGAGCCAGGTTGTATTTTAGAAGATATTTAAATACAGACTTATTCGATAGAGGAAACTTGGGGGGAAAGCTCACTTACCCAAAACGCATCTTTAAACTGCAGCTGTGTCATTGCGCTCACTCTGGGGAGGGCGAAGGGATCCCTCAGCACGTCGGTTCTCAGACAAGAGCAGCAGCAGCAGCACCGAGCCCTGCAGTTGTTGCTGTACCCCAGCCCAGGCAGGATGGGGAGCACATCCACAGAAATGTCTTCTCAGCTCAGGCTGGTGAAAACTAGCACTAGGCAGTTTCAGGTAGCTCTGTGTAATGACCTATAGCTGCGGAGGTACCGAGGGGAAAAAAAAAAAAAAAAAAGCTCTTGCTCACACACAGAGACATGCATGCACTCAGCACCCTACCCCCAAACCAGTTTCTCTTCTGGTAAACAGTTAATATTGAAATGAGGAAGCAAAGAGATGTCAAATGGTGTCAGTCTGCTCCTTGCCATGTGTGCATGCGAGCAGTGGGTAGAAAAAGAGAAAGAAAAGTTGATTCAGTGGCTTGATCTGATCGGCTATGGGAGGAGAGAGGGCAATTAACATGCAAAGGAAACCAGCACAATACAAAGATAAACTGGGGAGGAAATTAGAGTCAAACTGCTGTATAACGCTCTGGTCTTGTGAAGGAAAAGTAGCAAACCCAATGAAAGAAATGTATGCGTGTGCCACGTTTCTCCAGTACCTCCTGGAGTAGCATGGACCTGTATGTTGGTGCATGGGAACTGGGGCTGCAAAGCTGCCTTCTGCAACTGAAAATGCTTTTCAGGGCTGGTTAAACCAAGGACGTTTTAAATGTGCAGGTGCCTTAACATGCGAGTAGAGATACTTGTGTGTGTGTAGAGAGAAAAGTTCCGATTTGCATCCTCTTATGTAAATGTTTCTATGAATAAGCAAGACATTTGAAATTTAGAAGTAAAATCTGAACTCTAGAAACACTTGTGCTAAGAGTTAGAGGTAAGAGTACAAGGAACCGAAGTGAAGCCTAACGAGCAAATTCAAGAACTGGCAGCATGCCCAGCACCGCACCCAGCAGCACCGAAATGAAGCCTTTCCAACAGTTAAATAAGGTAACTGATTCATTACAGCACAGCTGCAAAGAATTGACAATGTGTAACATGTCTGCTGCTTCTCTGAAACCCTCCTCAAAATACCCATCCTCCAAGTGACTTTGTCCCTCTCCCTAGGAGATTTTAAAGATTCTGTACGCTATTTTTAATTACACACTGATATTTTTATATGTTAAGAAAAGGAAAAAACTTGTTATGCAGAAATAGATCCTTCCCCACCAAGAACGTGTCAGGACTAATAGCCGTAGCTAATTAGCATTGCTACTGATGCTGCTGGTCTTTCTTCTTTCTTAGTGCCCGTGCAGCACAAGCCGCATGTGCAGGTTTTTAGCAGGGAAGGACGCCTCTCGGCTTCCCTGAGCTCTAGAGGGACACAGAGATCTCTTCAGAGATCTGCAGCAGCAGCTGCCTGCAGTTATCAGTGGCCATGGAAGTAGCAACTTGTCATGGCTGGGTGCAGGACAGCACAGCTGGCGCGTCTCCTTCCCCAGGGTCTGAAGAGGAGCAGCACAAGGCACAAGGAATGGGCAGAAAGGGAAAATGAAGTGCAAGCAGAGGAGGGCCAAAGAGTTTGCAGGGTGTGAAACTGCTTTGGTAGTCGTGAGTGGCAGGAAAAAAACATCACCGTGCAGGGAGGGAGAAAGAGAAACACAGGGGGTCCCTGCTGAGGAGTGAGCAGAGCTTGCTTTCACAGTGAAAACTGCCTGAAAAGAGTGTGTTTTGAGGACATGGGCACTGCTCATAACACTTGATCTGTTGGGAAAAGATATTTTAAAGGATGTTTTGTCTCAGTCTTTCTAAAATGTAATGCGTCATCTTACTATTTCCAAATTACAGCTTTGTTTTGAAATTGATAGTTGCTGCTGTTGGGGTTCATAGAATATGCATCAAGTGAATGGAGAGATGAGTTCAGGCGTTCAGAACGATTTGCTGCTTTCTCCTTACTTTTCGTTCAGCCCTGAACCAAAAAGCCAGTTCAGTGTTTGAGGCTCCTGCTGGCCTCTGCCCCCCGCCTGTCCCTCTGAACCGCAGCAGCGGTGCTCAGTAACCTCCCTTGGAAGCACAGCACCTGGGGATTCACCCTGCTCACCGTGCTGCCAGCACAGGCAGGTAGCTGTGCTCCGTGGATGTTTCTCTCTTGCTGTTGTCTACAGAAGAGCCTTGAGCAGCCGTTCTCCTAGCCCAGGCATTTCCATGAGCTGTCTGAAAGATGCTGTGAGTCCCTGGCTCTGAGCTGCTGGGCAGGTGCTTGGTCTGAGCTGTGACCGCAGGGCTGCCCACTTGTCCCAGCGCACCTGGGTTGTGTTCAGAGCGAGAAGGGGCAGCCAGGCTCTGGGGGAGGAAAGAAATGACCTCACCCTTGCAGCTGAAGAAACTGAAACCTCTAGCATATGGTGGTGGCAAAATTGTCAGTGTTAGAGGTGGAGGCTTGGGAAGGAAGGGGTTGGAGTACTGATCAGGGAGATTTTTCCAGGTGGCCATGCTTCGCAGCTGCAGGGTGTGAGTGACATCTTGTTTGCCATCTGCACGGAGTCCACAACCCCAAATGCTCAGCTCATTTCCTCCACGACCTCAGCTGGTCCCCACCCCAAAGCATACCCCTGCAGGTGGCTCAGGGCATGCTGCAGCTGACCAACAGCAGCCTGCAGAGCCCAGGGTATCCTGCCAAAACTGGCCGTGAGGAGCTTTGATTTTCCTTTTCTGCCCAAAGCCAGAACAGCAAAGAATTCATAAATGCCTTGCAGTAGGTATCAACTGAATGTACACGGAGCTGAACTACTGCAAATGCTGGTTAGCAGGATGCAACTGAGAGCAGGTTTGGGATTTCCAAAGTAAAAATGCCCTCAGTGAGCTTGGGAGCTGTGCCAGTGCCTGGCTGGATAGGAAGCTTCTCAAATGGTTTGAGCACGATATCCTCTAGGATAAGTCTCGCTTTAACCTTGTAGAAGCACACACAGGGCAGCAGGGCCTGGAGTCACAGAGGCATTTGGGAGCCCACGTCTGTAGGAGTCAGTGAGCTGTTCTGTGCCGTTCTGAATGGAATCTTTCTTACACATCTTTTTCTTTAGTGAGTGAAGGGAAGTAGTAATGGGGAAACAAAAAGCTATGTAAGCTTCAGAAAACAAAGATTCTCTTAAAAAAATGAAAAAGACCACTGGACTGGGTCAGTAGAATGATTGTACTTCCACAGCAAGACAAGTAAGAGCCTGTCTCCCTGAAAAGCCTCTCAGCACTCACAGCCTAACCAAAGCACATACTCCAGCACAATGTGGGTACACGTCTCACTTGCCAGGGAACTGCAGGAATTTTGCCTCTGAAAAGTGCTTCAACTCCCCACACTTTTTTCCTGTTCATTAACACCACTCTGCTTTATTGCTCCTGCCCTTGTTCTCATGACAATGGTGTGTGGAGGATCTAGAAGGAGACTGTTGGGTCGAGTTGTCGCTTCCTTTCATTGGTATCAGCGTTTGGCTGAGAATTGTGTTTCAGTGGGGGGATCCCTAACATTCAGGATAGCAGAGTGATTCGACCGTCCTTGTTGGGCACAAGGTGATTAAAGTGGCACCAGGCACTGGAGGAAAAAAACCACCAATACACATGTAAGGTGGAGTTTCGCACCTGACACTCCTTGTTTGTGGTGCTGAATGTCTTTCCAAACGGTAGGTAGCACAAGTAACCAGACCTGCGGGTCACAAATGGATGGCAGCCGAGGTGAAGGTAGAACGAAGCATTCATCATCCTCTGCAGCCACAGCATTTGCTGATGGTGCTTGCCGTTACGTGCTCTGCCTTGACTAGCACTGACATTCCTCTATATGGAAACTACCCGTACAAAAGGAGAGCCAGGGGAAAAAATGATAGTGATATGTGTGAGACCTGAGAGAAAAGAGAGCTGTCTCTGGGGCAAGGCTACCTCACCTCTCACCTTCCTGCTGCTGCAGGTGGGATGGGAAGGTAGAGGATGCTCCATTACAGGAAGGAGGGCTCTGCATCGGGGCTGAGGGTCCCATGGGAGCGGGGCAATGCTCTGCTGTGTCCTTATGTGGGTTTTGGGGTTTCCTTCCCACAGACACCACACTGCCAGGGAGGCTAGCCATGAGGTTTCACAGGGGGGTTCATGTGATGCTTCCTCAGCATCCCTCATTTTGATCTTATAACATAATTCCTATTGTGGGTGGTTTTTTGTTTGTTTGTTTGTTTTTCATTTTCCTGGGTACTTTAACCAGTGGGTACTTGGCTCTGTTTTGTTCCAGCTGTGGCCCTAAATCTACCCACCTTCTCCCAAACACATGTGCAGTTTCTGGAGGAGAATATTGTCCTTAATCTGTTTCTTATTCTCACTTAAGGAAATAGTACTCCTCTGTGTTTTATAAATAAAAACACTAAAAGAAAGAAAAAATCTGATTATGTCTGAGCAATTCCTGCTTGATATCTGTAAGAAAAATCCATCAGTGCATGTTTGTCCTGGAAGATGCATTAACCTGAGGGTAGCCATATCCACAATGCCTTCAGGTGAATTGCCAATAAGAAGAATCAGGTGCTGTATACTCTCTGGATTTATGTATCCATTTTTTTTTCATGTCTTCTTTCATATTGTCTGATAAATTTTCTCTAAGTGCATGTTATATGTTCATAATAAATTGAGTAGAAAAGGCTGTAAGGGAAAGAAGTTGGTTTTTATTTGTTAAAAGTAATACTTAAATCTCAGCAATAATATACTCTGCTTAATCTATCAAATTAGTCCTTGAAACTGTGTGGCAACAGAATGTACCATTTAATCTATTCTGGAGTCAAAAGCAATGAGAAGTCAGATTTTTTATATTTGAAAGGTTCAGATTAGAAAGTCTCAATTTTTGGCATGCGTCTGAATGAAAGTTTCATTTGTCTTCTAATAACTGCATACTGCTTTGAGCAAAGTTTTTTATTTGGGATTTGGGGAGCAGGTTTGGACCCGACAGTAGTTAAAACACAAAAATAACATCTGCAAGCTGGATTGTACTCATTCAAGGCTTCCAGTAAGATTTTCTTAACAGTTGTGCTTCTGATTTCAAGTAGCCCGACAGTACAGACAGTAAACCTTTCATTCTACACAGAAAAAAAGATAAGGAAGTCTATGAAAATTGTTAAGGTAGTATATAAAGAGGTGCTGAATATCCACATAATTTGGATATTAAACTAATTATATTTTTCAAAACCCCTCAAGTATATTGCAGTCCCTCTGAATTACTCTTTGTGATTGGAAAAGAGAAGGCACCTCGCCTAGTCCTTACGGCCTCTCTAAAATTAAATCTAAGAGCTGCAGCTTCACAATGATGGCTGTATTAGTCATGTTCAAAATGGAAACAGCCCAGTCTCTGGCCTCTTGCTCAGCCCTAGAACACCAGTGATGATGAGACCGCTCCCAGAGGAAAACCACGGCAGCAGC